GGGTGCCGTCCCCGCAGCACTGTGAGGCTGCAGCCCGGCCGCGCGAGCTGCGTCCAGGCCAGGGAGGGACCCCAGGGCCAGCAGACCCCCGTCTCCCGGCTGCCCTCTCAGCAGTGGGTGTCAGTGGACCTGCTGTCCTGCTCCTACTCTGTCTCTGGGGGGTCCTCTCACCCCTGCACCTCTGGCCTGCACCCCAGCTCTTGTATGAATAAATACACCTTAAACAAAACAAAAAGGTAGGGACGAAAGGCCTGTTTATTACTCACTGAGCAATGTAGTCTTTTTTTTTTTTTTTAAGATTTTATTAAGGCACACAAGGGCGGGGATACAGGCAGAGGTGGGGGTGAGAGGACTCCCCGGAGACAGAGCGGGGAGCAGAACAGGCAGATCCACTGAAGCACACTGCTGAGTGGGGCAGCGGGGTGGGGGGGGGAGACAGAAGGGGTCTGCTGCGCCCTGGGGTCCCTCCCTGGCGGGGGGTCAAACTCAAGCCACAGGGGCTGGCCTTAGCCTGGCAGTGCTGCGCTTTAACTCCTGCGCCACCAGCTTCGTGGCATTTTAGGCTCTGAAGGCCAGAGCCAGTTAAATTGAGCAATTAAACACTGCCAGTTCAGTGCGCAAGCAGCCACCCAGAGCAGAAAACAAATGTAGCACCCACAGACAGGCGGGAGGCGCACGCCCCGCGGCAGCAGTCTTAAGCCGGCATGACAACAAGACGCCCTGGCCAGCGGCGGCCCTCGGCTCCGGCTTCGGAGCTTCGCGCATGGGAATCTCAGCTAGGATCGCCCAGTGTCCCGTGTCGAGCTACCTACCCTGGTAGGAGGCAGGAAACGTTCCTGTGACGAGGACTTGCTGGTGTCAGGGTGCACCTGCTTCCCTGACTGTCCCCGTCATGGGGGCACGCTGGGCTGTGAAGAGAGGAACTTCGGTCCCCACCAAACTGAGGCTTCCACATTTGTAGAAAGTGTCATTAAATCTGGAGACAAGATCGGTGCAGAAACCTAGGGAAGGAGAAAGAGCCCTGATGACTGGCCCTCGGGTGGGCTGGGGAGACCAGAGGCCCTGACTCGCTGAGCCTCCACGAGCTGGCTCGGTTTCCCAGCACCGCCTCTCATGTGGCCGTCGGCAAACTCCGGGCAGCCGGCGCCTCTCTGAATGGGATGTGTGGGTGTTTCAGGACGCGGTGGCCTTCGAGGACGTGGCTGTGGCCTTCAGCCGGGAGGAGTGGGCCCTGCTGGACAGTGCCCAGAGGGAGCTGTACAGAGAGGTGATGCTGGAGACCCTCCGGAACCTGACCTCGCTAGGTAAGCATGGCGAGACGCCGCGTTTAGTTGCATTCCACAAAAGCCCTTGACCTAGGATTTGGGCTGAGGACCTGGAAGGCTCTGAGGGGACAGACAGAGGGACACTGACTCCAAGGCCTTCTAGCCTAGTAAAATAAACATCTGGGTCTTGAGCTGATCTTCTCTTATGATGGAGTGCCCGGGCCTTTGGGGGGTTGAAAGGATGGGTCACTGCCCACCCCTAGACAAAATGACGCGCGCCCTTGCTTTGCTTCACTGTGTCACAGTCTTGAGTAACCTTGCGAGGTCTGGCCTGTGAGAGGTTGGGTACGATCCGTGGGATAACAAGGAAGCTGACGAGCGTCTAACAGCACCGAGGCCTAGGTACAAATGTCAGAATCCTTCTAGATGTCACAGACTGGCCTCTCCCTTCCCTGCTTATTTCCTTTAAGTAACTTTTGACAGACATTATCTTGACATGATTCAAGTCACACTGACACACTGAGTGAGGATGGGAAGGCGGGCGGTTGGCTCCATGTCACGGCGTGTTTGTGTCTTGCTCATTGCACCCTTGTGGCCCATTTCTGCTCGGCCAGGGCACTCGCAGCCCACACCCTTGCTCACTGCCTGGTGGAGACAGGAGGAAACCTGGGCGCAGAGAAGCAAAGACCTCTCCAGGGGAGGCATCCTGCCAGAGGCTGCCCCAGTTAGGGGCTGTCATGTTTGGAAAAGTGAGATAAACGAAAACCCCACTTCTGTCTGACTGGAAGCCTTGCAGTAGGTTGTTGTGCAAAGTCAGCCTTCTCTGCTTGGGGAAAGCCCTTCCCTGTACTCTCTGTAAATCAGCCCCTGGCACGGGCCTCTCCTCCCCTTTCTTTCTGTTCTACGACTCTTACTACCCTGTCTGGTGACTGTCCAGGTCGTCTGAGTAGAGATTACTCTGAGGCAGTTGCTCACCATCTTAACTCCAGTGCCTGTTCCCAAAGTCCTGAAGCAGCCTCCATGCTAAGGGCCCTTTGCTTACAAGTGCCTTCACTTTTTATTTCAGGGTCTGAGATGCAACTTGAAACTATTGAAACAGTTGCTTTGCAAGATCTTTATGGAGCAAAAATATCCAATAAACAGAAAATAGTAACATTCAAAAGGAACGATGCTTGGTCATCTATTTTACACAAAATCTGGGAATACTGCCTCACCGACTATCAGAACAAAAGCTGTGAGAAACATTTGAGGTGAGTGTCATTCATCTAAGACAAAATAGTGCCTTGAAAGAGAAATCTAAAATGTCATGAAATTTTAAAAACCTGGATATGAGATGAGGTCATAAATTGGAATTTCCTAAAAATTTTTTACAAGATATTTTTTCCACAGATAAGACTGAGATACTTGATGTCTGGCACATAATTCAATAGTGAGTAATTATGAAAAAATTCAAGAATTAAAAACTCAGTTGGCTACTATAAAGTCCTCTGTGAGAACCTTCAGATTATAATTTGACATGAAAGGAGACATATTAATTGAAAATGGTAAAACTGTATTACTAATAATGTATATTTTTATTTTTGAAAGGAGTTCTGGGGTGGAGAATATCTGTGAATATAATGAAGAAAATCAATGTGGACAAACCTTCAGCCACGTTCCAAACCTTTATAAACTCAAGAGAACAACTGAGGTGAAATCCTATGAATGCTATGAGTGTAAAAAAGCTTTCCCAGATCAGTTATCTCTGAAGAATCACATCAAGTCTCACACTGGAGGCAAACCATACCAGTGTAAGGAGTGCGGGAAAGCTTTCTATTTTCTTGCTTGTTTCAAGAAGCACATGAAAATTCCGATCGAAGAGAAGCCCTATGAGTGTGAGGAGTGTGCCAAAGCCTTTGGCTGTTCCTCGTTCTTCAGGGCACACATGAAGATTCACACTGGAAAGACAAGCTACGAGTGCAAGGACTGCGGGAGAGCCTTTAGCTGTTCTTCGTCCCTGACAGAGCACAAAAGAATCCACAGTGGGGATAAGCCCTATGAGTGCAAGGACTGCGGGAAAGCTTTCAGTTGCTCCTCCTCACTCTCCAAACACAAAAGGATCCACAGTGGGGATAAGCCCTACGAGTGCAAGGACTGCGGGAAAGCCTTTAGTTCTTCCTCCCACCTTATAATACACCTAAGAATCCACACTGGAGAGAAGCCCTATGAATGTAAGGAGTGTGGGAAGGCCTTCAGTGAGTCCTCCAAACTCACTGTGCACTTGAGGACCCACACTGGAGAGAAGCCCTATGAATGTAAGGAGTGTGGGAAGGCCTTCAGTGAGTCCTCCAAACTCACTGTGCACTTGAGGACCCACACTGGAGAGAAGCCCTATAAATGTGAGGAGTGCGGGAAGGCCTACAACTGCCCCTCCTCCCTAAGTATCCACATGAGGAAGCACACTGGCGAGAAGCCCTATGAGTGCCTGGAGTGTGGCAAAGCCTTCTATCTCCCCACTTCCCTTAATACACATGTGAAAAATCAAAGCAGAGACAAACCCTATGAATGTAAGGAATGTGGGAGAGCCTTTAGCTGCCCCTCATCCTTCAGAGTGCATGTGAGGGAACACGTGGGAAAAATACAGTATGAATGTAAGGAGTGTGGGAAGACCTTTAGTCGCTCCTCGTCCCTCACGGAACACTTGAGGACGCACAGCGGAGAGAAACCTTATGAGTGTAAGGAGTGTGGGAAAACCTTTATTAGTTCCTCCCACCTTACAGTACATATTCGAACTCACACTGGAGAAAAACCTTATGAATGTAAGAAATGTGGAAAAGCCTTTATTTATCCCTCAGCTCTTAGGATCCACATGCGAACACATACCGGGGAGAAGCCCTATGAGTGTAAGGACTGTGGGAAAGCCTTCCGCCACTCTTCGTACCTGACTGTGCACGCCAGGACGCACACGGGTGAGAAACCCTTTGACTGCCTGGAGTGCGGGAAAGCCTTCAGCTGCCCCTCTTCCTTTCGGAGACATGTGAGAAGCCACACTGGAGAGAAACCATACGAGTGTAACGAATGTGGGAAAGCCTTTGTTTGCCCTGCGTACTTTCGAAGACATGTGAAAACACACACCAGAGAAAATATATTATAGTAATTAAAAATGTGCAAGAATTTTTGAAATCTTAACTTGGAAGGTCTCATACCATGAAGTCACCTTATGAATGTAAAAAAGTAGGAAGCTTCATTCTTTTTTTTTTTTTTTTGAGGTGTCTGAGCTCTCACAACTCGACACCATGTACGCAGACCACACGATCCACTTTCACGTGCATCCTAGCTGTATGTAAGTTCGGACAGAAGCAAAGCCTCACCTGAGCCGGGGACTGCTGACTCACTGATTTCCAAATTTTATTTTCTAATGTGCTCTCCCATTCCTGTCCTGACCCTTCTCCTTCCTCCTCCCCTACAGAATGTCTCTGATCTAGAGTTGTCCCCACCCCCAATCTCGTATTTAGTTCCTCCACATTCCTCACTGATTTTCATTTAAGAAGATGAAAGTATTTGGTTTGCACTTAGGTGCAGTTAGCTATACTTTTTCCTTTGGTGTTTTTCTTTATTTCTAAAAGTTTACCTATTCACTTCCCTCTACTCACCTCGTACTATTCTGTTAAGGCTTTTATATTTTTAGATGCATTAATTTCTAAGTATACTGTTTAATGAAATTTCACATGTACGTATACATTCTAATTATGGGTCCGCTTATCCTGTAATGGTTTTCTTTTGAACCTCATTTATCCCTAAATAATTTGGAAAGGGAAAAGAAAATCTGTTATTCCAGGAAGTTAATTTATTTTGTCCTTTTTCAATAATTGCTCTAGGAAAGCACAATTTTTATTTGTTACAATTTATTGGATTTGCTTGTTCTTGACTGATGTGTGCATGTTATCATGCAGTATTTGCCATATGTAGTTATGCACTTGGCTTTTGATTACCTTTGCCAGACATGTACACGTCTGTCTTGGAAAAACATGACTGACTCAGTGGGTAGACTCTATGTTTAGATTTGGGAGGTATTTCAGTTTTTTCAAAAAGGTGACTACCTTATAGGCCTAGAAGTGGCGCAGGGAACCCAGGTGCTCCCCACACGCGGTCAGCGCTTCCTGGTTTTAGCTGTCACCAGAGTATGTGTTAAAAATATATTGCTTCTAATTTTCACTTACCTGGTATTTAATAATTTTGAATACTTCTTATATTTGTTCAGTATTTAGTTACTGTATGAGGACACCTGTTGAATCATTTTAGCCACTTTTGATTCCTTATTTATTTGCAGAGTTTCCTTTCGGCTGCTTGCTCTTAATTGTATGTGTGTGTTTAGATCTAATTACATAGCTGGGATACCTGGAACATTATATATTATATGTACATGGATTATAGCATATATATGCACACATATATTGCAGATAAATTTTCCCATCACTGGCTTGCCTTTTCATTATTTTTGTAAGCTGTGAAGGGAAGTTACTGGCTTAATTAATGAGCAGTTCCTTATTATAACTAGATTCAGGTCTGGCTGGATACTGGAGCTAAAAAGATGTTACCTTGATGTTTTCTCTTGACTGTGTATTTCCTGCATTAGTTAAAACCCAGGCCACTTTCTGGGTGGAAGCCTCGTAAAGAGAGTGGGTTTGAAGAGTTCTGTGTGAGCCTCCTTGACTTGCTGCTAGGAAATCGCTGTGGTCAGAGAAAATATTTCCCACTGGCTACTGTGCTCACCCAGGGGTCAGAGCAGTTACATCATCGTGTCCTGATGGTTGTGATGGACATGAGGGCCCACTCATGTCCATCACATGGGGCCTCTCCACAGACCTTTCCTCAGGGCAGTTTATCCCCTGCAGCTCCAGGAGTCAGCTTCTCGAGCCCAGAAGCTTAGCTGCCAAAAGCCCAGTGCTTTTAACCACCAAAGCCTCGCATTTAACAACAGCCTCAGCCCTTTGCCAACCCAAGGCTGCAGCTCTGCTCCTGCTTCCCATCAGCTCCTGCTAAGTCCCCAAAGTGTCTACATCAAATTGACATCATGGCAGGAACCCAAAAATGCACCCCCTGCCTCTGGCCCCGGGACCACCAAGATGGCTCCAAGTCCCACACCCATCTTGGAGGTTACTCCGCAGCATTATAATTGCCCCAACTTCGATTCTGTCATACTGATGGCCACCTAGCCTGTGGGACTCTACATGGCTCATCTCTAAGCCCCCCGCCCCGCGCAGGTCTGAGCAGGAGAAGAGCCCACCGCCCTCTGCATACGCAGCTTCCCCAGGCAGCTCAGCTCCGGCCCTGGCTCACTGCGGCCTATAGTCCCAGTAAGGGGGAAGTGGATGGGAGCCTGGCACCCCCTTCACCTCAGTCTAAGTACCAGTGTCTCAGACTGAGCAGCCTGCGCCTGGGCTGCGGCTCCCCAGCCCCTTCCCATATAAGGGGAGCCGCAGAGATAGCATCAGAGTCTGTTACAAATGAACCACTAGCAGTGAGTGCATGATGCCACATGAAAAGGCCAAGTAATTCATGGAAGAGGATAGGGCGCATTCAAAGTGCACCAAGATCGGAAAGCGCTTGCTGTTGAAGTCAGACACCCAAGAGGTCCCAGGAAGAGACTAAAAAACCCCCACAGGTAGGTCCTCACACAGGTAGGTCCTCACAAGTCCCAGGGCAAGTTAGGGCAGTCAGGCAACCTCAGGGACCGTGTGGGTAGGGCAGGAGCATTAAGGAGGCGCCAGAGGTGATGAATTCCAAAGGGGACTGACTAGTCGAACAGCCCAGGACCAGGCAACAGGGTGTTCCAGACAAGGGTGATAAAGAAAAGTGTGCAGAGATCGACCCCCCCTGCCAGCTTGGGCGGGCAAGCTGTGTCCTCTGCTCCCTCCAAGTCCCCGGGCCCGTCTGGGCACAGACCCCCAGGAAGAGCCGGGAGCAAAGAGCCTCTTCACCTGCTGTTCCTTTCTCTGGAAGCGACCTTCCTGCCTTTTCTCCAGAAGGAAAAAGAAACCTTTCCAGTAGGTCGATCTCCACCCCGAGACCTGAAACCCTCAAGGATCTGGCATGTCCTTGTGAGAAGAAGGGACAGTCGGCTTATTGTAGTGTGTCTTGGGCTTTCCCTGGGGTTATTTTGTTTGAAAACTTTGGGTCTCCCGGTCCAACACGCTTCACTTCCTACAGCAGATGGTTTTCAGTTATGTCGTTAGACAGGTTTTCTGAGCTGTTCCCCTTCTGCGTCTCCGTCTGGGATCTCAGTGATCTGCAGGGAATCCTGGCGGGGATGTGTTCTGACAGTTACCTTTCCGAGTCAGACTCCGGAGACTCAGTGTCCCCCAGAACACGCCAGGGCACACTGGCTGGTCTCTGAAGTGCCCTGCGTGAGCAGTTGTGCCCAGGGGGAGATATTCATTCCAGGGGAGATGGACACCTCTCTGGAAAGAGAATATGCATATGTCCAGGGGATTAAACTTGGCCCCTTGGATTCAAGGGATTCACGTAGAAACTGGAGCAAAAATAAGCCATCTACTTAATTAGGAGCTCTGAGAGTTCAGTCTCGGATCCCCTCCCAGAGCTCTCCCAGGGCTAATCAGCCGGCTCCCGGTGCCCTTCTGCTTCCCCCAGGACGTCTGAGCTCTCTGAAACCAGCACCTGCCATGCACTGTCTACTCTTTTTATACCGACTGTCCAAGGAACCAGAGACCAATGTGACAAGTCCTCTGAGTGACGCCGCAGGGAGATTTAGAAGGAAAAAGTTGTGAGGGAAACGAAGACTTACTAAGCATGTCTTCTGGGAGACAAGTCGATGAGACAACAAAAGGGTGGTGGCTAAAAATCCTCCTCGCTTCGTGACCTTGGTGCTGAAGGGGATTCTCTCTACTCACGTGTCCTCTCCACTCACGCGTCCTCTGTTGCCAGCTCAGCGTCCAGTTCCAGGCCTTCTCCCCTCCGCAGCGGGAACTGGCCCTCCTTTGTGTCTGCTCGTCTCTGACTCTGCTGTATGTTCACGCTAGCGCTCTCTAGTTCTGAAGCGCTGACCAGTGAAGCAGGCCAGAAGGATGACAACCCCCAGCTGGGAGTCAGGGAGGTGTGAGGTCTACCCCAGCCTCTTCCATTTAATGCCCAGTGGGCCGTGGGCATGATTTTTATGTTCCGTGGATCTTTTTCTCATCCGCAGACATGTGAGTATAAAGAGCGCTTTGATATGCTTGTAGAACAACGGGTAGAATGGCCACAATGGTGTTACTTGAAAAATACCCTTTATCTATTCATTCAGAAATACACGATACACTCCAAAAATGATTTTAGAAACCCATAGAACACAATACATAGAACAAAGAAAATGTAACCTTGAGTGTATATGACAACTATTGTGGCAGGAAAAATAAAGCAGATCTAAAACTGGGTACATGATTATACCAGTAACCAAAATGCTCCACAGATTGGTACTCACTTGCCCAAATTGGGCTCCTGATAAGTTGGAGAGTTCCAACAAAGACAAGAGACTGTACCATTAGGATGGAATTTGACTATATAAATTAAGATAAAAAAACTAAAGAACAAGTGTTACAGTCCCAGTAGGGGTCAGTTTGCCCTCTCCTCACGTGGGAGAGCCCAGCATGATGTCTCCGTGTCCCACGGCAGCCAGGCTTCGCACCCTTCCCTACTCCCCCTCCCATAACATGTGGCTTTTCCAGATACGTAGCTACATGAGTTTCAGTGGCAAATTCAGGGCAAGGAGGAGACAGGGAAGGCTGGCTTCCAAAGGGCAGTCTTCCTGCCCAGTAACTGCCCATGGCATTCGCTAACCAGCCAGCATAGCAGACAAGGCGGACAGCTTGGCATCCTAACTAGGCATATGGCCACATCCAAATGTAATCAACTTCTGCACAAGAAACTCGGAGGAGACTAAGGAAGGGGAGGGTGGGCGCACTGGGTGGGCAGCTCTGGCCCAGCGACAGAGGGCAAGTCTACAGCTCCATGATGTGAAGCCACAGTTGCGTAGGAGAGGCGTGGCCTTCTAGAAACTGAGGTAAGCATGCACACTGGCCATGTATCTGTTTTCACTCCAATATCAGCGTGTTTTGATGAATTTATCCTGATTAAAATTCACTGAACTTCTTGAACATGTTGACTCATACCTTAGCCCAAACTTGGGGATATGTTGGACTTCTTCAAATCTGGCATCTCTCACCCTTGAACTCCTACTGGAGCTCTGTGTGCCACACAACTTTCGTAGGCTCTGTTCATTTTCTTCTTTGCCTTTCCTGCCTGCTGCTTAAGCCATATCATCTCTGTTAGCTGGCCTCCAGCTTTGTGGGTCATCTCTTCTCTCTGTTCAAATATGCAGAGAAGCCTTCTAGTTAATTTCTAATTTCAGGTATCATGGTTGTGTTCCGGAGTTTCTAGCTGACTGTAAGGTTCCCTATTGCTGATTCTGAGAGATCCCCCTGTAGTTCCAGTGTTTTTGTGGTGCCTGATCCCACCATTCACTTTGGCACGACTCGAACCAGCTTCTAGCACTTTCTAAAGCACATGTGTGCAAATATATATGTATATAAAATTACTGACTATAATATCAGTCTAGTAGGTGGTGGCTATATTACTTTTTAAAACTATACTATATGAATTTTAATAAAGTATGAAAAAAAAAAACAGGCATAATGGACACCAGGCTTTCCAGAGACACCGAAGAGAATCACAAAATATACGTGTAAAATAACATACTATCACAAAACATGTAAATCAGTGTAAATTACACATTTATACATTTGCTTTAGCGAGACACTGGATTTGCCAGCAATGCTTGGATGAGATGGCATTCATCTATAAAACATCAATCTGCACAAAATCATAATGCATAAGTTTCTCTTTTTGGTTACATGTTAAATAAAGACGTTTGAAAGAAGATGCAGAGAAAATAAAAATGCGGCGCTAAAACCTGAAAGACTAGAAGCCGTAGACCTCCAGGCCGCCACTGCCTGAGTGGTCACGCGTGGGGAGCTTCCACCCAGCTGCTTACTGCACGTTTGACTCAGTGGATCTGAGTGGGGCCTGGGAACTGCATTCAAGGAATCTCTTGGATAACGCTGATCCTGTTTTTTTGGGGGGTCTCATTTTGAGGCGCTATGCTGCCTTTGGACCAAAGACTGCATGTCCACCAAGTAGTGACAAAAATGGAAAGAGCAGAGAGACGCATCCAAAGTGTTGATTTCCCCCAAGGAGGGCAGCTGGAGCCAAGTAGCACCTGTCTGATCCCCTGACCTGGAATAAAGGCACCCCGTTTCTGTGCCCTGGGATGATGAATGGTCTTTCTCTTTCCTGGCAGTTATTTCACCCACATGGAGTCACCCAATCAGACACATGCTTCAGAATTTCTCCTTTTGGGATTTTCAGAAAGGTCAGAGATTCAGTTTATCATTTTTGGGCTCTTCCTGGCCATGTACCTGGCGGCCGTGCTGGGGAACCTGCTCCTCATCCTGGCCGTCGGCGCCGACCCCCACCTGCACACCCCCATGTACTTCTTCCTCTCCAACCTGTCCCTGGCGGACATCTGCTTCACCTCCACCACCGTACCCAAGATGCTGGTGAACATCCAGGTGCAGAGCAAAATCATAACATATAGAGGCTGCCTTGGCCAGATATTTTTTTTCATTGTGTTTGGATGTCTGGACAATCTCCTCCTGGCCGTCATGGCCTACGACCGCTTCGTGGCCATCTGCCACCCCCTGCACTACTTGGTCATCATGAGCCCCCGGCTCTGTGGATGGCTGGCCCTAGGTTCCTGGTGCCTGAGTGTCCTCGGCTCCCTTCTCAAGACCTTGACTGTTCTGAGACTTTCCTTTGGCACAAACGTGGAAATTCCACACTTCTTTTGCGACCTCCCCGAGGTCCTGAAGCAGGCCTGTTCCGACACCCTTATCAATAACACAGTGGTCTACTTCACCACGGGCCTCCTGGCCGTCATTCCTTTCAGTGGCATCCTTTTCTCTTACTATAAGATCGTTTGCTCCATTTTGAGGGTGTCCTCAGCTGGAGGCAAGCACAGAGCCTTCTCTACCTGCGGCTCTCACCTCCTGGCGGTGTGCCTGTTCTACGGCACGGGCCTGGGCGTGTACCTCAGCTCTGCGGCCACCTCATCTTCCAGCTCAAGTCTAGTGGCTTCAGTGATGTACACCACAGTCACCCCCATGTTGAACCCCTTCATCTACAGTCTGAGGAACAGGGACATAAAGGGGGCCTTGGGGAGACTCCTTGGCAGGCTGGCACCACCCAGGCATGGGGCCGTTACAGGATTCTCGTGGTAGCTGGTGTGCTAGGACCAAAAGTCTGGACACTTGGTCCAATATTTGCATTTTTCCTAATTTTACATGGCTCTTTCTGCCCCCTTTTTCTTCATGTTATTTCTTGGGTTTCCTTTTTCATTTTATACCTAGTCATTTTAATCTTATATGAATATAACTTCTATTTTCTCAGGTATCTCTAATAATAGATTAAAAAGAAAGTCAACTCCTATGTGTTCATTATATATCCTCAGAGTAATGGGGTGTGTATCTATTTTGATGCTGCCCTGCAAACTCATTTAAAGAGACCCCTCTTTTATTTGAATGAATGCCATAAAATATTAGCTTCAGTTCCACTGGTCTGTGTGTCTATTTTTAGTCCAATGTTATGCTGTTTTAACTTCTATAGTTTTGAAATATAGTTTGAAATCTGGGAGCATAAAAGTTATCATACCAAATAGGAGAAATTATTTGTGCATTGTATCTCTGATAAAGTAATAATATCTACAAAGAAGTCAAAAGCTCAATACCATTAAACCAAATAACCCAATGGAAAATGGCCAGAAGAACTACATAGACACTTTTCCAAAGACTTGCAGATGGTCAACAAGCACATGAAAAAATGCTCATCACCACTTATCAAAACTAAACCAAAAAACTCCATAGAAATAGGTCTACCGAGCGGAGGCCTCTAGAGGGCGAGCAGTAGAGCGAAGCAGAGGGAGGAAGGGAAGGGCGGGCTATGGAGAGTAAAGTAATCCTTTTTCATGCTCTGTATCTACACGTGAAGTATGGTAGACTGGCGTTTGTCCATTTTGCTTATGGAATAAACACTATTTGAAATAAGTAGTCTTTTGCCCAATTGTCACCTAGTATTAAAATATTTTGAAAGCATATACAGATTTTATCAATTCCTCCAAGAAAATAGCAAAGCTAGTTTTCCTAGTACCTTTTTTTTTTTTTTTTTCAGTGAGGGCGACATTAGTTCACAACACTGTTGATGGTTCAGAACTACAGGCTCCGCCACCCCCACATGCACCGGCATCCTCCACCACTGCCCATTCTGCTGCAGGGGTACATCCCTTCCTCTGTACCCCGTCCCCGGCAGCCTAATCTTTACAGTCAGACTTATCAGTTTGTTTTGTTTGATCTGACTCTGATTTCTCTGATTTCACATGAGTGAAACAACGTGTCTTTCTCCTGAATTATTTAGCTCAACAATATGCCCTCCATAAATGTCAGGGCATGTCCAGTCATGGTATCATCAAGGGCCTGAGTCCATCTTTTTCACAGTCGAATAGTATTCCACTGTACATACATCTAACGCCTCTTCTCCCTCTACTCACATGTCCTGGGTCACTTAAGCTGCCCCCATGCCTTGGCGACTCTAGATCGTACCCCACTGCTGGCCCGTCTCTCTGCGGCATCAGACTCCAGTCTGCAGACTGTGCACTCCCAAGGAGCCTCACAGGCCACTGGCGGAGAGGTGGGGCAGGGGAGCACAGCATATTGCGTGGTCCCTGTTCCCAATACTGGGGACCCACGGAGAGCACCCCAGCTCCTATGCCCACGTGTGCTCTCAGTCACTGCTCTCCCCTCACCAGGGCTGTCATCAGGGAGCAGCCTCCCACCCAAGATCAGGGACTCCAGGCATTTCTCTCTACCACCTCTTGTTTAACGAAGCACGAAACTCTCCAATGTCCCTTCTGGTACCGTCCGCGCTGACCGCTAGTACTCAAGGAGTGTCCCTGTTTCACGAGAGCCCTGGGTCTTGTGGGTGCTGCGCCAGGATTGATTAGCTTTCAGGTTATTGTCCCAGGAGCAAGGCAGGAACATTCTCTGATGCCGCCTTTGACCAAGTGCCCTCCTCTAACCCTCACGCCAACTCCGCTCGGTGCCCCCGTCTCCTCTCTCGGCACAGAGAGCCGGGGACAGGCTAGGCAGCAGCTTTCCTATGGTCACAGCAACGTGGTGAAGGGAAAAGTGTGCCACCTGACGTGGCCACTGCCTAATTCCCTTTTGCCCGCCACCACCCCTTATGCCCCTTCAGAACTGTCTCCTCCTTAACCTCGAAAATGTCACTTCATTTAGCAGCTTCATTAAGGTCACCTGCTTTTACAAATGCTCTGTTTGGCTCAACTGTCCCCTGCACACACGCCCACTGTTCCCCTGGCTGCTAGAAGGGCAATCGGAGACCCTGACTTGGCCTGGAGGTCAGGCAGCTCCTGCCTCAGCAGGCTGTCTGCCCCGCTCTGGCGGTGAAGTACAGGCGCGATTTAGAGGTTGCTCAGACAAGAGCTGCTCGGGCCGAGGACGGTGACCTGGCGCCCGCGGCAGCGGCAACACTGGACTGAGCAGGCCTCGGGCCTACCCGGGGCCACGGATGCGTGGCCGTGACGAGTCCCCACTCATGGACCCGCATCCGCAGCCACAGCCGTCGCCTTCCGGAGTCGCAGACACAGAGCTGCTATAGTCACAGCGCGATGAGAACAAAAAGAAAGTCCTTCTTGCTTTTGCAGAAGTGTGATGGGGCCCTCCCCGGTGGCACAGCGAGCAGGGCACAGCGCTGCAAGCCGCCGCAGCCTCTGCGGTGGAGTCCGATCCCCGCCCCGAGGGTGACCCCAGGGCGCAGCAGGCCTCTCTTGACCCACCCGCTGCTCCCCTCAGCAGTGTGCTTCCTCAGTCTGCCTGTTCAGCTCCCCACTCTGTCTCTGGAGAATCCTCTCACCCCCTGCACCTCTGGCCTGCACCCCAGTTCTGTGTGCATCAATAAAGAAATCTTTTTTTTTTTTTTAAAGTGCATGAGAACAAGGACTGTGGTGTCTGAGGTTTTACACAGAGGAACTCGGTTCTCTGCTTTGTTAGTGAGGACTGACAATACTGGAGTACTGGGGGGTCTGTGCCCCCACGTTTGTGCCTTGATGATTCAGGGCGTGAGATGGGTCCCTCAGGCACAGACATCTTGAAACCGGAGCACTGGGTTGGACACGGTGCTGCAGCTTGCCCTCTGGAAGGGGAGCTCATGGCAAAGGAGCAACTGAACATGGATTCACTTGACATCTCATCGAGTCTCTTGGGAGCAGAGAGTCATTAAGAAAACTTTCCCGGAGTCTGGTCCAGCGTCCACAGGGAAATCAAGAGCTGAGAGCTGGGAGCAAGGAGACTGGAGCATAGTGAGAGCCGCTGTAAATACCTGGCCAGTGTCGGTACCTCAACCTGTCCAGCCCGGGTCTGTAAGGACGTGGCGCTGTTTCCGGAGCCTGCTCGGGCCCAGCACCGCCTCACGCGAGCACAGCCCGTCTCTGTCAGCAAGGCCGCTCCATGGAGAAGCCCGCCTCGGATCGCCCACCCAGGTGAGTCTGGAGCCAGGCAGGTACTGCTGAAAGACCCAGAGAAAACAGACTGAGAAATTCTGCCGCAGGTCACACGCGATCAAAACAGGCCCAGGGACAAGACGCTGCCATGACTTGCTTGACGGACTCACTGTTTATAAAGAATTTACTTACTTGTGGATAGGAAATGTCCGCTGCCCTCAGCAGCACAAGAGCGTGCAGATAAGAGAGAGGCAGGACGAGAACATTTTTGGATGAGGCGGAAGGAGGGACGGGGCTCACGAGGTCCCCGCGGGGGGACACGGCCAAGATGTCTTGGAGCTAAAGCGGGAGGGAAATGAAGTGTTAGACGTGGGGGTGCCCTGAGCGGGGGTCTGCGAGAAGGCCCCTGGGCCAGAGAGAGCCCCTGGCGACGGGGTCAGCAGAGGGGCGTCACAGCCCGCCCCACGCAGTGTCGCTCAGCGGAGGCTGCTCGGTCGGCGTCCGTGGGGGCGGGAGAGCGTCCCGAGCGGCCTTCTGCTCCCTGCACATGTGCGCAGCTTTGCTTGCTGGCATTTTACTTCAACTACAAGCTGGCTGTGCTCTTTTTCACGGGTTATGTACTTCTGGGGCCTGAGTCTTCACTCTGGTTTGAGTCAAATATTCAAACAGAATTGGAGTTTTGCAAAGTAAACGCCTGGCGCCCAGGTCTTCCTAAGCGTGTCGGTCTCTGGGCAGCATGTGTGAAAACGCCCGACGCGGTGGCCACACCCCTGTGTCTTTCACACAGGCTGTGGCCTCGTCAATCGCAGTGACCGTTACACGCAATCCTCACAGCTTGCATTTGCTTCCTCATCACTACGTTGCCCCACCTCCGTGATTTGATCTGCTATGTTTTCGTTGAGATTTGATACAAAACTGTAAGGTGGAGAAAAACACGTTGATCTGATCTATTTATATCTTGCAACCTGATTACCACGGTAGCATTAACTGACGCCTCCTCAACACACACATAACTAGTGTTGATCTTTGTCATGAAACAATCACCAGGTAGTCTCTTGGCAACCCTGAAGGCTACAGTGAAGGACTGTTCGCCGTCGTCACAGTGCATTGGCTTTCCAGAGCCTCGTTCATCCAACCGGCTTCTTCCAGAGCCCCCCACCCCGGCCGGTGTCAGCAGTTCTAGTGTCTGTGTTGGGACCGGACACGTAAACGAAACCCGGCGTCTGCTTCCCTGGGGCTGGTCACGCGGCACAGCGTCTCTGATGCCTGTGTTGCCGCAAAAGGCAGCGAGTGCTTCTTGGGCTCTGTTATCGGTGTTCTACAGGGTGTGTGTCAGAGCACAACACCCGTGTGCGCCCCGCACATCCCACGTTCCACACCGCGGACATTTCAGAGCGGCGGCTCGCCAGCGCGCCCGCATCCGTAGTGCAGCATTCCCTTCACTCACCCACGGACGGCTCGCAGGCCAGTCCTCCCCTGGGGCTCCACAAACACGGGGCGCTGCTTTCACCCCTTTGTGCGCACATGAGCAGGTCACGCGGGCGTCTCTGCTGCTTTGAGGCGCCTCTGTATCCCGTGTGTTCCGACAACAGCCCCCGCGTCCCCGCCTCCCGGACCCCGCCTGCGCCCTCAGCGGCCAGCGCCTTTCCGCAGTCTACTGGAAGCCGATGCTGTTTTTCTAGGTGGAAATGGCAGCTTTGGGGCTGCTCTGGGAAAAGAGATTTGCCACTTTTCATCTTCAAGTTTGCCGGTTCCTTCTTAGAGAACCACGCAGATGAGGTTTCGCTCTTCGCCATCTTTTCTTCACAAAGCTTGTGGTGACTCCTGCATCCTTGCTGGTCCTGCTGCGCTCTACAGGGTGCATGGGACCTGCTATTCTATTTATCTTTTCCTTTTTAAAAAGATTTATTTATTGATGCACACAGAACTGGGGTGCAGGCCAGGGGTACGGGGGGTGAGAGGCTTCACCAGAGACAGAGTGGGGAGCAGAACAGGCAGATCGACGAAGTCCACTGCTGAGGGGGGCAGCGGGGAGACAGGGAGGTCTGCGGCGCCCCGGGGTCACCTCCAGGGCGGGGACCAGACTGGCACTGCAGGGGCTGCGGCAGCTGCTGCGTCCTCACCCCCAGGGAGCGCCCCACTCCGTTTGTCGTATAAATGACTATTCCTTGGCATATTTTCTGTGGGGTGGAATCGCAAAAGTGAACAAGCTCACCGAAGTCCCTGCCCGCTCGGAGCTGCCACTCCGACAGGCGGCCGAGCGCGTGCCCTGCCATGGTCAGGAGTAAGCGCCGAGGGCGGCCTACGCGGCCATGGCGACGTCTGGGGGCCTCTGCTGGCCGGGCAAGGAGCAAAGCGGACCCGGTTACCTGTGCCAAAGGCGAGGTCAAAGCCTAAAGCCCCAGGAGAACAAGGACAATGCCGCAGACACCGGCCTCCAGAGCAGGGGCTCTCACGACTGCGTCCTGCAGCCAGGCCAGGGCGGAATCCCACAAAGCCAGTCAGATCGGGAGGCTCAGGTGGGGCTGGCTCAGCCAGCTGGGCGGCCCCTGGAGCCGGGGTTCTCTGCGCCCCCCCACCCCGCTTTTCAGCCGGTTCCTTACTTCTGCCCCCGCCCCCCCCAGACCGACCCTTTACCGGCTCTCGCCTTTCGCAGTGCGTTGCAGACACTTTCCTGTTGCCTGAAGACAGACCCGTCTTCTGCTCGGGGAGCTCACCCAGCAGCACGCACGCAGGCATGACCCGCACGTGTACCGCGGGCGCACAGAGGGGAACTGCCGGCAGCGCCCCGTGGGCTTCCCGCGTGTCGTCGTCACACCCCGCTTCGCCATCACCGCCTCTGACCCCCGTGGTGTGCGTCTCTGGAGACGAAACCCCCCTTGGGGTTCTCCGTGCCCCCTCTGGCATCTCCCTGCCTGTCTTTCTCAATTGCGGCCTCTCCGTGAGTCCTCATAGCTCACGCACTGTGCTTATGCGCAGCGGCGGCTCCCACCTAGGCCGGGGGTGGGTGTCGGCGTCCAGGGAATGATTTCTCACCTTCAGTCACGGGCAGGCTCTTGGAGACGGCAACTGTAAGCGACACGGCAAAACCAACTCTATCACAAGTCAGTCGGTATAAGCAGGAACTAAACTTCCTAAGGCGGATTTCCAGTCACAGAAACGTCACCGACCTGCTCAGGAAAGGCGCTGGCACTTCAAATAGGGAACAGCGTTTGTATCCATTCACCCACCCATTTGTCTTCCAACCAACCAGCTGATTCCAGTCAGGGGCCTGCCCAGGCGGGGGTGGGGGCAAGGGCCAGCTGACAGGATGCTGTCCAGGCAGGGCAGCAGGCACCCACGGCGCTCACTCACAGATGTGGCCCAGTCTAACACAGTGACACAGATCTGCCAGATGACCCAGTAATTCCACTCCTCTGCCTCTGTCCCCCAACGTCCAAACACTCAACTGAAAGCACCCTGCGGTCCCGGTTTCTAAGCCCTGCACATTAGGGCTGAGTCCTCCCGTCACGTGAGCAGAAGGAGCTGTTGCCCATACACCGTGGAGTACTACTCGGTCATCAAAAAGATAAATGAACGCCGTTTGCGCAACACGGGCGGGCTGCGGTCAAAGGTGAAGTCAGTCACGACAGCAGCGCCAGCAGTCAGGCGGTGTGGCCTGCAAGCCAGTGAAGTCAGTCATGACGGCAGCGCCAGCAGTCAGGCGGTGTGGCCTGCGAGCCAGTGAAGTCAGTCACGACGGCAGCGCCAGCAGTCAGGCGGTGTGGCCTGCGACACTGAAGCAGCAGCCACCATGAAGCAGCGGCGTTCCCAGGCGGAGCCAAGTCTGGGCGGCTGCGCAGGCCGTGGCACAGGGCAGGCTGGGGCGAGGGCGGAGGCCTCAGTCTGGGGACCCCATGCCGCAGTCAAGTAGCGCGGGAGCACACCCGGGAACCCCTCGGCACCCAGAGCCCCAACCTGCAGCCCGAGCGCCTGCCGTCGTTTACCTCAGGCCGGGACGGCTGGCTCTTCCCAGCCACCACTCCCGGCGGGGTCTGCTCCCCTCGGGGCCTCCCTCTCCCAGGGGTGTGTGGGGCTGAAGGCGGCGACGGCCGCCCTCTGGCAAGGACCGCAGGGCCCACGCTGACCGGAGAAGTGGCCTTCTAGACAGACGTTCAGCGCTGAGGCAAGACCACGTGGAGGGGAGGAAACTACCGGTCGTGGGAGTCAAGTCACGGACAGCTGCTCCGTGGCCACAACTTGCCGCAGGCGCGTGCGGGACGCAGCAGGTAGGTGGCACAGCCCAGCGCCCCCCGCCCGCAGCCCCTGCCCACAGCGCCCGGCCGTCCAGCCCGGCTCGGCGCCGCTCCGCAGGGGCCTCTTTCTCGGGCTGCGTGGCCTGCCCAGTGTCCTCCTGCCACACGCTGGCGCGTCCTTCAGCACACACCCCTGCCTCAGCTCTTTCTGCTCAGAGGCTCCTCATCGTGATTGTAGGAGTTTCCTCTGGATTCCACCTCTTCATCCACCCGCATTATTTTACTTAACAATAAAAATCACCACATGAAATAGCGTTTGCAGAGACCACACACAGACTTAGGAGAAAACTTGTTTGGGGCTAGGGTTTTCCTTAAACAGAAAAGATTTATTTATTTATTATTTATGTATAGAAGAACTGGGGTGCAGGCCCGAGGTGCCAGGGTGAGAGGACTCCCCAGAGACAGAGTGGGGGACAGCACCGGCTGACTGATCAAGCCCACTGCGGAAGGGGCAGCGGGGAGACAGGAGGGGTGTGCCTGCCCTGGGGTCCCTCCCTGGCCGGGTCCGACTCGGGCTGTCTCCATGGTCCAGCGTCCAGCTGAGACTCAGCCCCCGGCTTAGGGGTGTTTAGAGTCAGCCTCTCTGCTTTTTCTCCATGATGCCAACAACATTTGCATAATACAATCGGCCAAAAGTATTTAAGAGAATATCTGAGGAAATGCCAAAGAAAATTTTGACTTGGAAAGATGTTTGCAGCAGAGGCAAACCGGCTAATTATTTTCAGCATCGAGGGAAGGGGGGCGGCTGGGCCCAGCACTGCGGGCAGCAGAAGGCGCCACGGTGGGCACCCGCGCGGAGCGCGCGTCCGCCTGCCTCGTGCGGGCAGACTTACACGACTCTCGTTTCCACCCCAGCAGCGTGACCAGCCAGCTGGACCTGGGAAACCAAAGCCGCACGGCCACCTTTATCCTGCTGGGGCTGTCGGAAGACGCCTCGCTGCAGCCGCTGCTCTTCGGGCTCTTCCTGGCCATGTACCTGGCGGCCGTGCTGGGGAACCTGCTCCTCATCCTGGCCGTCGGCGCCGACCCCCGCCTGCACATCCCCATGTACTTCTTCCTCTGCAACCTGTCCCTGGCGGACATCTGCTTCACCTCCACCACCGTCCCCAAGATGCTGGTGAACCTCCAGACGCAGAGCAAGGCCATCTCCTACGCGGGCTGCCTCACCCAGATGTTTTTCTTCATCCTTTTTGGGGGACTGGACAACTTCCTCCTGACCGTGATGGCTTATGACCGCTTCGTGGCCATCTGCCACCCCCTGCACTACGCGGTCATCATGAACCCCAGGTTCTGCGGCCTCCTGGTTCTTGCATCCTGGGTGCTGAGCTTTCTGGACTCTCTGCTACACAGCTTGATGGTTCTGCGGCTGGCCTTCTGCACACAGCCGCAGATACCGTACTTCTTCTGCGAGCTGAACCAGGTGCTGCGGCTTGCCTGCTCCGACACCTTCCTCAACGAGCTGGTGATCTATTTCGTGATGGTGGTGCTGGGCATCATTCCTTTCAGCGGCATCTTCTTCTCTTACTCCAAGATTGTAACCTCTGTTTTGAAAATCTCATCAGCGAGTGGCAAGCACAGGGCCTTCTCCACCTGCGGCTCTCACCTCTGCATGATCTCCCTGTTCTACGGGACCGGGTTCGGCGTGTACCTCAGCTCTGCTGCCCCCCAAGACTCCAGGGACAGTGCAATAGCCTCGGTGATGTACACGGTGGTCACCCCCATGCTGAACCCCTTCATCTACAGCCTCAGAAACAAGGACATAAAGCAGGCCCTGGTGAAACTCTTGAGCTGAAGAGCAGCCCCACGGGGCGGGGACTCCCCACGTGGCCTGGTCACGAGCAGCAGGGCGCAGAGGCCGTGAACGATGTCCTGATTCTGGCATCAGGCAGTCAGCGATGTTCTGTGGTTTATCTTATCGACAGAGCTTGATATCAGTTTTTTATACATAATGAATATGTTTTCGGTATTTCCTTTGTTATTTTTAACTGTTCTGTAGACTGGGTTCAGTATGAAGGGAACATAATCTGTGTGAAGTTTTCTTCACTGAAATGTTTGGGTACTTGCAAAAGAATAGAAAGAAACGGGGGAAAATATGCACAACTGTATCAGGTAAAAACAAGCAACTGATGGATTATCTGCAGAAAAACCTTGTCATAGCAAAGCATACATGAGTTCAAGGGTTATGCTGACCTCAGAAAATATGGGTCTGGAACTGAACTTGCAGAAAACTAGGCTGACAATCACCCAGCTGAAGCAGAAAACTAGGCTGACAATAACCCGGCAGGGCCTGCGTGAGGAACGTGCCTCGTGACGGCTGAGCACATCCTGCACGTATCTGAGTGATGTTCCGCCGACGTGGATGGGCCACTGTTTCTCTCTCATTGGGTTTAATACGTTCCCGTGAAATTCTGATGGAGATCTATACTCACTGAGAATAGCGGCCAAAAGCTAGGGTTAATTTAAAACAAAATAAGCAATACTTTTTCCTGACAATGTATCCACCAGAAGATGGCAATGTAGACTCAAATGTTACTGGTGGCAGGAAATTAAATAATCTAACAGAAGACAGAAATCCACTGATTAAATTCACTTGACTCAGATAATTTCCCTGTGCCAAGATGCTTTATGTCTTCTTTTTATGGATGCTTTAAAGCCACAAAAAGTCATTCATTTTATGATTTTTAAAATACGTACTGCCAATAGAGCACATCTTTAATTGCAAACTCAGACTAAATCACAGATACCACTTCCGAGTTGATGAGAACGCAGACCTGGCCTATGTGCAGTGTCACTGGCTTCCAAGGTTCAAAATACCCTCTTCTAAATGCCAGGAGCGCCCCTTCTGGGCGTCCTTCTAAAATCAGGTGCTTCCCTCCCGACCTTTGCAACTAGCTGCTAACTTTTGGATCTGGATCTTTCTATAACTTGAAGAGCTCATGAATGCAATAGCCGATTCATTCTATGGCTTCCTCCTACTGCATATAAACCAAGCATGTGCACATGTGTGTGAGTGAAAAGACTGACTTATTCTAAGGTTTTATAACTCAAATTTCTTCGTAACTTATAAGATTCACTAAAAACTACTAAGAGGTCCATGTTACATTGCTACACAAAGGATCAAGAACACCTCAACATTTCTTAAGTAATCTGAAAACCTCACTTCCTCTAAGAACCACCTAGGAAGCTTTAAAAATTCACACACTGGAATGTAAACTGCTGTAGCCACTCCGGAAGCTGTGTGAAGGTCCCTCAGAACACTGCAAATGGGCCCACCGTAGGCCCAGGGATTCCACTCGCAGGAGTCTACCCAGAGGCACAAACACACTCACGGGAAAGGAAACCTGCACCGTTCATGGCGTCGCGCCAAACAAAAGGTCAAGAAACAGCCCGAACTGGTGCTGATCATGGAGCCAGACACACGGGAGAGGAGGGGCAGCTGCCCCAAGAGTGACCAGCTTAGGGCACTTCTGGACCCCTCGCCAGAGCTGGGATTGCAGTGCCCCAGCGAACAAGGCGGGGCTGGCTTCACCTGGCTGACGCCCCCCTGGGCAGTCGAGGGGTGGGCAGGATTTGGCGGACAGCGACGCCTGCAGGGCGACGCGTGGAGCGCAGGCTGCGTGTGGGCTGCGGGAGGTCTCTGAGCCAGCAGGCGGGCGGCTGCTGCTCCGAGTCACACCGAGGGCACCAGGGACGGGGGCGGAGACCAGCGCCGTCCTGCGGTCCTGAGTATTGGATGCGATTTACAGCCTCTGTGTAGAGGGGAGGCGGAGTGAGTGTGTGCGGTGTGTGCAAACCCTGCACGGCGGCAGCCGTCTGGCCAGGAGCCGGGAAGGCACTGACGGCCGTGCACGAGGCAGTGGGAGAGCCCGCGAGTGGACGGCGGTGGCCGCGCAGGCGGCGATCGCCCGGCCACGGTGGGCGCGTACCGGAAGGCGGCGCCCGGCACGGGAGGGGGCTGTGTGCGCGGCAGGGAAACCTCCGGCGACCTGCTGGCGGCCTGGCGCGGCCCGAGCGCAGCAGGGACCCGGGGGCCGCTGAGGACCCCCATTTACAGCTCTCGGGCGACGTGGGCGGCGGCGGCACAGGTGTCCTGCTCAGCTACTCCTGGGCGAGCGGGCAGCTGGTGACCCCCGGGGCCTCCGGGCTCCCAGTGGCCGGCGAGCGGGCAGCTGGTGACCCCCGGGGCCTCCGGGCTCCCAGTGGCCGGCCATGGCTGACCACGGGGGGTGGGGGCAGGGCTCAGTCCTCCCACGGGGCCTGGTCCGCAGAGACCCTTGCTCCAGCCGTCCACACGCGGTTTCGTCACGCAGCCATTTCGCCCCTGAACCTGAACGAACACTCAGAGCTCGCTCACACAGACAGACGCGAGCCACAGACTCAGGGCAAGCTGCTGCACCTCACCACGAACCACCGCGGGCTTCGTGGGCGGGCTGGGAAGTGAGAGCGGTTTACCCACACACACGCGAGGACCAACACCACCTGCGCCCCAGAGTCCCAACGCCACGCGTGAACTTTAAGAACGGGGACGGGCTGTCGCTCGCGCTGGAGGCATGCCTGCTGGCCGCCGCTCGGCGTTGGGTCTCCGTAGGCAGCGCTCTTTCACTGCTCGCTTCAGAACCGAAAATCCCATTTCCAACAGTGAGTCTTTATAAATAGCTTTATAATTGCTTCCAGTTTATGATCCTGAAAAGGGCCCGCTGGAGTGATGTAGGTCATTTGTATAATTGTTCCGTGTCTGCGAGTCCGTGCAAGGCAGACGAGCTAATGAGCGAGAAGGCCGCCTAGAACCAAGACCGGGTGCAGGACGGGGCGCGCAGGGCCTGGGAGCCGGGATCATCTTTCTCACAGTCACAGCCCAGGCGCCCAGGGGTCTGGTGCCGCCTGGCAGGCGGGGGCGGCAGCCGTCCGGCGGTGGGGCGCAGCTCCGAGGCAGCCTCCCAAGGGAGAAGAACCCCGCTAGTATCTAAGCGCCGTCGGAGCTGGTCTGCGGCCTGCCCGGGGCAGCCGGTCAGCGCCCACGTGGCAGCAGGCGCGGAAAAGCCGTTGGGAAACCCTCCCAGGCCGGCGGCCGGCGCTGCCACGCCACAAACCACCTGCTGGCCGCCCTGGTGACATTTATGACTCAAGAATGAGAGAAGTTAGCCTTCGTGAGTGAGTCGTGAAATATTTGCCTTTTCATAAACGAAGTACTTGTACTGGACGTCAAAAGTAAGTAAATAAAATCCCTCACCTATCTGTTCACTTTCAGTAAGAAAGCCCCAAGGGGCCGTCATCAAAGACTTTCTTTCAATAACTGGGATTCTTTCCTGACAATGGCCAGGCCCTCGCCGCTCTAGGACATGCCCACCGCGCGCCTTTGTTCACGACAGGGAGTAACTGTCTAGCTGAAGAGTTCCCCTGAGTAGACTGAATATTCCACCGTATAGTGAAGTTGTTAGATTCTTTTAAGTTTGTAGATCTTTTTAGAAAAGATTTATTTATGCACACAGGAAGTGGGGTACAGGCCAGAGGTGTGGGGGGTGGGGGAGGACTCCCCAGAGACACAGCGGGGAGCAGGAGAGACTGAAACCCACTGCTGAGGGGCAGCAGGAGACCGAGGCGGCTGCTGTGCCCCGTGGGTCACGCCCTGGCCGGGGACTGAACTCGTGCTGTGGGGGCTGCGGCGGTCACAGTGCTGCGCTTCAAGCCGTTGTGCCGCCCGGGAGGCCCAGCGTAGACTGAGATCTTGCCAACCTGAGGTCACCAGACCAAATACTTTATATCTGAAGGTAAAGGAACTTTTACTAAGCTCTCATCATCTTTTATGAAATAAATTATCTTTATATCTTTTAAAATGTTGAAGTCGGGCCCTCCCTGGTGGCGCAACGGGTGAGGACGCAGCACTGCAAGCTGGCCTCAGCTGCGTCAGTGCGAGCTCCAGCCCGGGCTTCTGAGCTGACCCCCAGGGGCCGGCAGACCTCTCCTGACCCGCCCGCTGCCCCCTCCGCAGTGGGCTCCGTCAGTCGGCCTGTTCCGCTCCCCGCTCTGCCTCTGGTGAAGCCTCTCACCACCCCTGCAACCTCTGGCCTGCACCCCAGTTTTGTGTGCACACATAAATAAAAATCTTTAAAACAATGTTGAAGTAATTTATGTTTATTATAAAACAAACTTACAAGAGTCTGTACATGTACAAAATTAAGTAATTATTAATCTCTAGAGAGAGATTATAGATTAGTATTTGGTTGTTTACTTGTGGCCTCTCACATGTTCATATACACTTTTTTCCAAAATTTAACTTCAAAGATAATATACTTTGGCTTTTTGTGCCCAAGTCTAACACTGTATCTTGAGTGTCTTTCTATTCCGTAAAAGCTTTTCCAGCCCTGCTGAACTGGCACACGTATATCTACTGCAGATTTTAAAAGCTGATGCTCTGGACATTTAGGGTTTTCAGTGTTTTAAAAATGAACAGCCCCCTGATGAATGTCCACATTGTTAAACGTTTGGAGATACTTTCACACTGCTTTCCCTTGGGCTAAATCCCAAGAAATGAATTTGCTGGGTCAAAAAGAATACACTTTCAAAAGGGCGTTTGACTTATACACCAAAGTGTCCTCCAGCAATGCCGCAAGAGGAATTCTTCTAAGATGAAGCTCCCGCGCTTATCGGCCCGGGGGGTGGTCTTACTTAGTGGGAAGGAAGGGAGAAGACGGCGGTCACAGAGCGAAGACCCACCGGGACGGTTACTGTGACTGTGAAGTCACGATCTGCTCCTCCGCTCGGAGGGGACTTTTCCAGAAGCCTGACCTGGAG